CCAAGAAAAAGAAGAGAGAGGCAATTCATAGTTCAGACTAGACGTCTTTCTTAGCTTGTTCCACAAGCCAATTCAAGCCTATATATACATTCCCCCCATCTTTCTTCTCCCTTCAAAGAAACATTGAATATCATTCATTACTATTTTGTCATGGCAACGGTAGGGTTTGGTCTCGCTGAAACATACGTGATGCGGAAGCTATACAAGGAAAAAATGAAGAAGAGAGAAGAAGAAGAAGAAAAGGAGGGAAGAAGGACCAACATGAAGATTCATACAACCACAGAGGACAAAACATCGAGTGGGTGTTTCCCCTGGCTTTCCAAGCACCAGAACAGGAAAATTTCTCGGATATCAGATTTCAATGACACAGAAGCTGCCAATTCCTAATTCATGTTGGCCTTTTGGGATTAGTTTTCTGTTTTTCAAGTGCAAAGATTACTTGGTTCTTTCATTTTTATTTTTATTTTTTCATCTTCTCTCGATCCTGCTTTATTATTATTATGATTGTATACCCTTCAGTTATTTGTAATGTTAAATGAAATGAACAACTATGTTGTATCTCCGTATTGTATTGATATTTGGGAGTCATCTTAATGTAAAAATGAGAATTACTAATTTCGAATGGCGTGTTTTATGTATGGCTAGTATATTTAAACCTTTGTTTTGCTTCGGAATTTACATTTTGATACTGAGGATGCGAACCTGAACCGCTTGCAGAGATGGGAATCTCTTCTTCTGTTTGTTTTTTGTTTTTTTGTTCTCCATGGGATGGGAATCCATTAATTGGACGGGCCCAACGAGTTAGGCCCATTTTTATCCGTTTATAAATCCTTATACAGTTTGCTACTTGGAGCTCTACATTTTATTTTAAACAGAAATAAATTGAATTCTACTAAATCATGGCAACTTAGTTGGTTCATAAAAATAGAGCATGTGTAGATGAGAATATGTGTTCAATCTTTTTCAGTATCATCTTTAAGAGAGATTTAAAATTTTAATCTTAGACTCACCTCGAATAAGATTGTCTCTCATGGAATATAACTGTGGTTTATTCAAAATAAAAATAAAAGAAAAATAAATTGAATCCTCTTTATAAATAACATTTGAGTATTTTAGCAACTCTAGATTATCAAATTCAATGAAGAAAGAGAATGGCAGATTTTAACTTTAATGAAAAATGAAATACATAATTTTAACATTGATATATTTTTCTTATAAACAATTTTATAGTATAATTTTACAAAATAAAAGTTTATAATCTATTTGAACATGAAATAAGTATAATAAAATTAACTTATATCTACTGGATTCATTTTTTTTATTTTTCCTTAATTGTTTTAAATGATGCATTTTTTTATATTTTCTTAATTAATGAATAAATGGACAAAATTATTTTAATACATTTTAATATATAATCTAATAATTAAGAACTAATGAATATGGTTAATAAGAAAGTAAAAATTCCTAATTCAAATATTTTTTTTCATCAATAAAGTCAAGTATTCAAAAAACAATTTTCTTTAAACTTGAAATTTTAAGATCCTAAAATATCTCTAAGATTAAGTTATTTGATAAATAAAGATTATGATGATTTTAATTACAAAAAAAGCTGATCTTGAAATTAATTTTATTTTTTAAAAAATAATTAATTTACTTTAATGAAAAAATAAGTAAGTTACAACAGCTAGTTATAAAAAAAATAGTACGCACAAAAATATATTATATATATGGAATTGTTAATCCACTATGCGGTTAGTACTCTTCAAATTTTATTTTAGATAAAAACAATAATAAATTTATTTCAAAAATTTAGAATCACCAAGAGGTCGCATTTGAGTAATCCTTGATAGATGTCATTGGATTGATAAGATGGAACAATTTGACTAATCCTTTTAATTAAAACAAATTAAATTCATGTTTAATATTTTTTTAAAATTTTAAATTAATGCAAGATTAACATAAAATATAATGTCAACTAAACAATTGAAAAAAAAAACATGCTAAAACAATCAAGTAAGAAAAATATACTTCGTGCAAACGTGAACAATTCTAGAGGCAAATAGGGGTATTTGGTAGAGGAGAAATTTTTTTATCTGAGAATCACGATTCTCAAGAATATGGTGGGAAATTAACTACCTTTGCCTACCATCCTAAAAGACCATTAGTTCAGAATCTTAATTAACATTATCATTCTCTCTTCTCTTTAAATTTTGATCTAACGGTATTTAAGAGTGATAGGCAAAGGTAGGCAAGAAAAAAGGTTGGTAGAATAACCTATCCCCAAAAAAGATAGGTTATTCTACCTACCTTTTATTCTGGCTATCTTTGTCTACCATCCTAAAAGACCATTAGATCAGAATCTTTTTTTTTTTTTTTTGGTAATCTAGGGGGAAAAACCCCAGAAGATCAATTCAAAACAACTTTACGAAAAAAACAAACCGAAGAAAAATCAGTCAAATACAAAGGCCAAATACCAGGAGGGGGGTAGAAAAAATACACACATTATTCTCTAAATAATTGTCTAAGGGATACTTAGAGAGCCAGTCAGCACAACCATTGCTCTCTCGAAAAGCATGAATCAGGTGAACATCTCAGTCCTTCTGTAACCATGCTCGAATATGAGCCACCAGACGAGACTCTCGAGCTGCTCCTCCACTATTGGTGAGCAAAGTGATAACCGAACTAGAATCACTTTCTAAAATACATCTTCTCCAACCACCATCCCAAGCAGCTTGAAGACCTTTTAGGATACCCCATAGTTCAACTACAAAAGATGAACATTGCCCTATATGATAAGCCATACCATGTAACCATCTGCCTGAATCATCCCGTATAATAACTCCACAAGCAGCCCCACCACCAGCACTTCTAGCCGCTCCATCCGTATTAATTTTAATCCAACCTGCCTCCGGAGGAATCCAACAAACAAGAATAAAATGCTGAGTTTTCCTCAAGATAGTACCATTAGCAAGAGTCCAAGATTGGGAAATCTCACGGACGAGAGTATAAATGGTCTCAGCTTTGTAAGCAGACCAAGTAATATCTGTACCATGAACCTTGCTATTCCTCCAAAACCAAGCATTCCAAATTATCACAGCAAATACAAGAGACCAAGGAACGAAAAAAATATCAGTGGAATCAATTTTGAGATTATTCAAAAGCCACATATCTAAATCGGTGTTAAAAAACACATCCACTGCCTCAGGATTCAGCACATCCATCCATAGGCGTTTGATTTGAGTGCAATCTCTAGCCATATGGATTATTGTTTCATCTTCTAGTTGACACAGCGGGCAAATAGCAGAAGACAAATTCATTCTTTCCAATACCTTCCTTGTAGGTAAACGGTTATGTGCAATTTTCCACAATAATAAACTCATACGGTTTGGACATTTAATCTTCCAAATTAAAGGCCAAATATTATCAACATGACTAACCTCAACAGGCTGATTTGAAAGAGTTCCATACAGATTTTTAACCGTAATAGCACCTGATCCAGAAAGGTTCCAACTAATTCTATCGACTCCATGAGATTCATGAGGGGGAAGTTGACTTCGAATAACTTGGATTGTATCCTGAGGAAGGAGGTCAGCCAACCTGTGACAGTCCCAAGAACCATCAGGAGCAACATAGTTCAAAATCTTTTTGCCAATCTCTAATTGTGGTATAGGACAAATAATTTTATTAGCCAAGACACCTTCATTTCCAACCCAATTATCTTCCCAAAAATCAACAAGAGAGCCATCTCCTACATCCCAAACCAACCGTGGCTTAAGCTTCTGCCAAATATCTCAAAGAGACTTACAAAGTCGAGAGTGACCAGAAGAACAGTTAAAACCCTCAGAGGTGTTGTCTTCAGTGACATATTTAGCCTTCAAAACTTTGACCCAAAGCTGCTCAGGAGAATTCAAAAAATCCCAAAGTAATTTCCCCAAAAAAGCTTCATTCATAACTGTAAGCTTCTTGATACCCAAACCACCTAGAGATTTAGGACGAGTAATAGATTCCCACCCAACCAGGTGCATATGCTTTTTACTATCTGAATCACCCCAGATGAATTTCCTCTGTAGCCTTTCAAGATCACTACATACTGTTTTAGGAAGCATATTATTTTGCATATGATAGAAAGGAATTGTAGATAAAACTGATTGGGTAAGAACCACCCTACCAGCTTGAGAGAGAGATTGAGCTTGCCAACTATTCAATTTCTCTTTCACTCTTTCAACTAAGCCAGCATAAAGATTCTTTGTCACCCTACCATGATGAATCATAGCACCCAAATATCTACCCACATTTGAAACTGTCTTAAACCCACTAATTTCAGTTATTCTATTTACAACATCAGCAGGAGTATTTTTAGAGAAATAAACACAAGTTTTTTGTTCACTAACTTTCTGTCCAGAAATTTCCCCAAATAGATTAAGACAACGAAGAAGGATATGAACCTGTTCCTCACTAGCTTCCAGAAATAACATGAGATCATCAGCAAATAATAAGTGTGATATTTTGGATCCACTCCTTCCAGCTCTAATTGGCTTCCACAAACCGCCATCAACAACAGTATTTATAATGTGGGTGAGTTTCTCCATTGCGAGGACAAAGAGATAAGAAGATAAGGGATCTCCTTGTCGGATACCTCTACTAGGCTGGAATTCTTCTGATACATTCCCATTCCAAAGCACGCTGGTCTTTGAAGAAGTTACTGCTGTCATGATTAATTTAATAAGATGCTCAGGAATCTGAATCTCTTCCAAAACCAACCGAATAAAATTCCAATTAAGCCGATCATAAGCCTTTTCAAGGTCAACTTTAACTGCAATAAAACACCTTTTTCCCCTCATCTTCCTCATTGAATTAACTAATTCTTGGACAATGATAATATTATCCTGAATATGACGCTGGGGGACAAAACTAGATTGAGCAGGAGAAACTACTTTCATCATGATTGGTTTTAACCGATTAACAATTAGCTTACTGATGATTTTATACATCATAGGGCAAAGAGAAATCGGCTTAAATTGGCTAATGTAAGCAGGAGACAAAACTTTAGGAATTAAAACCAGAAGAGTAGAATTAATTGAAGCCAAGACATCAGGATAATTCCAAATCTGATTGACAAGAGAACAAACCTGAGCTTTGAGCAAATCCCAATTTTTCTGGAAAAAAATAGCTGGATATCCATCAGTACCTGGAGCCTTCAAACCACCCATACTGAAAACTGTTTGTTTAATTTCCATTCCATTAGGAGCCGTATTAAGAAGAACCTGATCCCTTATTAGAATATCTGGCCATAAGTTCCCTGGTGTTAACCATCGTCTTTCCTGAATATCTTCTGTAAAAAGAACCTTGAAATAATTGCAGGCCAAATTTTTAAGCTCGATAAGTTCCCTGATGTTAACCATCGTCTTTCCTGAATATACTCTAAATTCTTTAAGAAAGAAGTATCCTGGTGCTCTCTCCTGTCTTGAATATTAGAAATCTTTTTTATAATACTATTCTTCCTCCTCTCAATATTTCCAAAAACTTTTCTGTTCCAATCCTGAATCTCTGGAACTAATCTTTGAAGCATATATGGTAAGTCAAACGCATGGTCCCATTTTGACTGGAGGAAACTATGGAATAATTGATGTTCTTGCCAGGCAGCAAAAAAATGTAAGGGTCTCTTACCAATGTAATTGACATCCTCTAACAGCTTAATCAACAACGGGTTGTGATCAGAAAATAGCCGAGGAAGGGAAGAGACACGAGCTTCATCAAATAATAACCGCCAATCCAAATTGGCCACCACCCTATCAAGCCGTTTAAATACTCTCCCCAAATTGGCCCATTTTGGTCCCTGCCAAGTAAAAAAAGAACCATCACAACCTAAATCAACAACACAACATTCATCAAGAACAGCAGCAAACTTTGCACATCTAGAAGGATCAGCCGCTACACCCCCCCTTTTTTTCATGGGTAAAAGCAATTTCATTGAAATCACCTCCTATCAACCAAGGACCAGATATAACATCGCTCAAAGATCTCAAATCATCCCAGAGTTTTTCTCTAATACTAGTTGATGGGCTAGCATAAATAGTCGTAAATTCAAAGGACTGATCAACAATTAAATTGACTCTACAATGAATGAATTAAGTTGATTGTGATAACGTAACAACATCCATCTTCTTGCTGTTCCACATTAACCAAATTCCGCCAGCAATCCAATGAGCTTCTTCCACTATTAAACTATCAAAACCCAGTTTTTTCAACAACTTCCTACATACATCACTCTGTGTTCTTGGTTCAAGCAAAACTACTAAATCAACAGAATATTTCTTTACCATGGACTTAAGGGTGCCACCAAGCTCTCTCTTAGCAGCCCCTCTTGTATTCCAAATGAGAAAATTCATCATCAAACATGCTGAGAATTTGCAAGGTTAAGGGAAACCTGCATAACCTCCTTATTCATCAAACAACCATTATCATCAACATAAATCGCCTCTATATCACCTTTTTTCACATTCTGGTTTATGTCCACTACCATTAAATCCGGGGGTTTAGGATCCAAATCATGTCTAATAGAAGTTTGTAAACAAGCCTTGTTACTAATACTTTGGAACTAAGAATTATTGGAAGTATTAATACCAGAGAATTGATTTACTAACCTCAAAATAAAAGTGGTAGGAGAATGCTTCTTGGTAATATCACGCCCTTCCGTCGCTCCTAACATCAGAGGAGAGTTTTTGATTCCAACCACTTCCTTCCCTGCACCATTTTGCTCGTTACCCCTACTGTGACTTTCAACATTAGGAATTTCCATCCTATCCGTCTCATCAACACCCTCCAGACTGAATCTCGATTCTGTTTCCACCAGATTAACAACAGCCTTTGTGCTCTTCTTGACTTTGGAATGAGGGGAGCTCTGCAAAGGAGGCTGATACACAACCATAGTTCCTGAGTTACCATCTTCTCCCTTCTGACTCTCCTGATTCGTCAAAACTTCAAATTTATTTTCAGCTTTTCTAGTGTTCTGTATCTTTTTACCCTTTACATTATCACTCCCTTGGTTCCTCCTGCCCTTTATCACTTGCATCCAAGGCCCAAAATTGGGATGATCAACAGCAGGACATTTAGAAGTATTCGCATGACTGTCTTTACTTTCTGCATGCTCTTCCTTCTCATGTGTCCCTCTTTCCACCTCTTGAACATAATGATGCGGACAGTTTTCCTGTCGATGCCCATACATCCCGCATGTATAACAAATTAAGTGAAGACCCTCATACTCAATTCGCTTGACTCTGTCTTCCACTTTGTACTCCACTTGAAGGGGCTGATTGAGATCCAGTTCCACACACATTCTTGCGAATCTGCCCCGAGCAAGAGAAGTAGTAGCCACATCAACTTTTACAAACTTCCCCAACCAATTTCCAATGCTTTTCACTAACTCAGTGTTGACATACTCCAAGGGAAATTCTGGAAGACGGATCCATGCCACAATTCTATTAATGGCTGCCTGAAAAGGTTGAAAATCCGGTTCCCAGGACCGAATTGCTAAATAGTGATCAAATATTAACCACGGCCCTGCTGTGAAGGAAAAATCCATATCCTTCTGATCCTCAAAACGAACCAGAAAATAGTCATTCTCTAAATCAGTCACAAAAATTATGCCCTCTCTTGCCCACATATTCTCCAATTTCTTCTTCATAAAAGCAATCGATACCCTCTTCCCCAGTAATTTCACGAAAATGGCTTTATGCCAGGGTTTCCAAGTTTTCCTTTTAAATTCATCTGACAGCTTAAAATTAACCCTACCATCTGCCTCTGTCTCCCATACCACATCTGGCGCTGAAACCATCTTCTCAGTCGTTGGAACCTCCTCGTGATGTTCCACTTCTTGTTCATTCAATTGATCAAATTCACTCCCCCATTCCCCATTATACCTCATAAGCATCTCCTTATAAGACATGTTTTCCAACATCTAGTCATCCTCCCTTGGAACCATGGTCTGTTCGTGACTGAATGCTGCATCTCCCCTTTACTCTTTTTAGTACTTCGCTGGAGATTGTCTGTCTCCTCCGTCGAGCGATCATGATCAGCGGCGAGATCCATTCGTTCTCCTAGGGTTTTCTCCGCAAGCGGTGGTACTTTTTCAGAATCTTAATTAACATTATCTTTCTCTCTTCCCTTTAAATTCTAATTTAACGGTACTTGAGAGTGGTAGGTAAACGTAGGCAAGAAAAAAAGTAGGTAGAATAACTTATACTTTACAAAAAAGTCATTTGGTAGGCCAAAATATTTTCGAAAATGTAGGATGGAATAACAGAAAAATAATTATTTCATGTTTTGATTTAAAAGGCATGCATGGAACTACCCAAAATCAATAGGAGTGGTATAATTTGTACACTTCTATAATGAGTCTAACCACAATAAATCTAACTTATAAGTTCGAATTCGCATATGATTAAGTCATAAACAATACAAAATGTAATCAAAAGTAGGCAAATTAATGAAAATTCTACTTTTAAAATGAGTAGTGATAATTCCTAGGTGTAAAGAACAGCCGGCATATATACCAAAAAAAAAAAATAGAAGAACAGCCAGCCGAGGCCCTAGAACAGCCAGCCGAGGCCCTAGCACACATTTAAAATGGTAGAAACAAGTATTAGTGAATTCAGAAGGCATTTTTGGAGTTAATTTTGAATTTATTATGTTTATGAATAATTTTGAATTAATTTTGTCTTTTTGTCGTTGAACATATGTATTAGTGAATTCAGAAGGCATTGTTGTTTAGCCATCACTGTTCTCCCGTACTTCGGATTAGTCCCATAGCCGGCTCAAAGAGTCGAAGCTCGTGGGGATACCGGAGGGAGCCAACTCGTCTCAAAGAGATAATTAGGGTTGGATAACTCAAAAAAAAAAAAAAAGGAATTGTTGTTGTTGAATATGTGTCATTTAAATCGTACTCATACATTTTTTATAAATAAATGGGCTTATCATTTCTCAAGCCGCCGGAGATAATTTTATCTTCGGCTATTAAATCATAACCATACAAAGATGTATCAATGGTAATAAAGGAAGAGAGAAAAAAAGAGAATAATAACCATTCAAAGGTGAATCAATTAATATAAGAAAATAAATAAACAAATTTGGGATGACCAGAGATAAACTTACCTCAAGTTGCCGGAGAAATATTTTTCCCTAAATAAATAGGGATTATAATTTTTAGTTTACAAGTTTTTCCCCCTATTAATTTTGTATATTCTTTACATTTGCATTAATGTGATTGGCCGAACATAGAACATAAGTTGAGTTCGATGATGTTATTTATTGTGGAAGTGCTCCCACAAAAATAGAGATAATTTTAGAAATTAATTGTTCATGAATCTTTGACACCATAGGAAGGACAAAATTATTTTAAAAACACAATATTTAATATTAGACTCGAATTTTCCTTTATTACATTTATATATTTTCTATGATACGCTTTAACTTTATGTAATTACATGTTTGAATTTGTTGTGTATATTTCATGAGACTGGAGGTATTGTTGAAGCGATTTCTTAAAACACATATTAACCTCTCAATAGGGATTGAAATCATTTTTCTAACAGGAATATTTACTTTAGTAACATATGTGTCTGATAATACAGTTATTTCTCTGACGGACTTGCAGATATTGATGAATGTAAGACATCAAATAATACATGCCTAAGTGAAAATAATTGTCACAACACCGATGGGTCTTACAAATGTTTCTGTCCTAAGGGGCAATCCGGAGATGGAACAAAGAACGGAGGGTGCCACCGACGAGATATAGTTACCCAGGTTGTCATTGGTAAGCAACTAAGCGCATCCAATTCTATTTCATTTTATTCTTTGCTTTTTCAACTATTTTTCATGTTTCTGTTCATTCAGTATGTAAGCCATTCTTCTATGCAGGACCGATACCGACACGAGACACACGACACGATACTTCGATACGTTAATCTTAAAAAATGTTAAATTTTGACACGTTAGAACACGTTTTAGTATTAAATAATATTTTTAATTTATGTTGCGTATATTATATTTAATATTCAATAATTTAATAAAAAATTAAGATAAACTTATAATACCCATTAATTTTGCAAAGAAACATAAGATATCAAAAATATTTATATTAAATTAAATAAAATGATAATAATAATTCAATGAATCTAATACTTAAAACAAAAAACGCAAAACAACGCAATCTTTGAACCTCTTTTTTTAGTTTCAACAACGCGCGTTGGAATGTCGGAAAGTTTCAGAAAATATCAGACATGACACATCGGATTTTTTGAAGTGTTTATGTTTCGTAGAAGCCATTGATATTAGTTCATTGAAAAATTCAAGAATTGCGTGCAAAATATTGCAAATGCAGGAACAGGTGCAGGATTCATACTTCTAATTGTGGGAATTTCCTCGCTGTACTTAATATACGAGAAAAGGAAACTCGTCAAACTGAAGGAGAAGTTCTTTAAGCAAAATGGGGGTATCATTTTGCAACAGCGACTCTCTGCAGGAGAAAACACTTCTCAATCTACTACAGTGTTCTCAGCAGAGGAACTTAAGAAGGCCACCAACAATTATGATGAGAGCATAATCATCGGCAGAGGAGGTTATGGTACAGTTTACAAAGGAGTTTTGTCAGATAAGAGGATTGTTGCCATCAAGAAGTCCAAAATTGTGGATCAGAGCCAAATTGAACAATTCATAAACGAGGTGATTGTGCTATCACAAATTAATCATAGGAATGTGGTCAAACTCTTGGGTTGTTGTTTAGAGACAGAAGTTCCTTCACTGGTTTATGAATTTGTTAACAATGGTACCCTTTTTGATTATATACACAAAGAAGGCAAGGCAGGTAATGTACCTTGGAAAACACGTCTAAGGATAGCAGCAGAGGCTGCAGGGGCTCTATCATATCTGCACTCAGCTGCTTCTATACCCATTATACATAGAGATGTAAAGACTGCCAACATTCTCTTGGATGAAACTTACACTACTAAAGTGTCTGATTTTGGAGCTTCAAGATTGGTTCCTCTTGATCAAACTGAATTAGCCACATTGGTGCAAGGAACTATTGGTTATTTGGACCCAGAGTACATGCAAACAAGCCAACTTACTCAGAAAAGTGATGTGTATAGCTTCGGAGTAGTTCTTGTAGAGCTTCTTACAGGGGAGAAACCTCTTTGTTTTGACAGGTCAGAAGAGAAAAGAAGTCTTGCCATGCACTTTTTATCTTGCTTGAGAGAGGATCGCATGTTTGAGGTTCTTCAAGTTGGAATTTTGAATGTAGAAAATAAGGAAAAGATCAAGGAGGTTGCTATTCTTGCAACAAAGTGCTTGAGACTAAGAGGGGAGGAGAGGCCTAGCATGAAAGAAGTGGCAATGGAGTTGGAGGGAATAAGGCTAATGGAAAAGCATCCATGGATCAACACAGACGTGAATCTAGAGGAGACTCATTACTTGCTTCATGAGGCATCATCTAGCATTCATGAACATGGTGATAGCAGCAGCCATCAAAATACTGGGTATGACGGCATCAAGGATCATGTACTCATTGACTTCGATGACCGAAGATGATTATGCTTCCACTTCTCTTTAAAACAATGTTCAACATATTTCTACTTCCACTAACTGGCTTTTTATTGTAATTCAAATATGTGATTCAATCTCTTGAGGTTAGCATGCATCCTTTTGTAATCTTTATGAATTATAATAGAATAAATTTAGTTATTTTAAAGTAATTTACTGATGTTTGTTTTTTTTTTTTTTTTACCCCTTAAAAGCTATGTCTGTGTAATCAAATAATCCTCCTAGTGCTTTTTATTGATATCATATAATCCTCTAATATTTCAAAACAGAGCCATTTTGCAGAAAATTGATCCTCATTCCTCACCTATCCACTTTCTTCGTGTAATCGTTTATCATGACTTTAATTAATTAATTGATAATTGTCAGGAACATTTTTATTGAAATTAAATGTGACCAGCAGCATTTAATACTTTCAATGTTGATTTATTTTCTTCCAAATTCTGATTCTTCCCATTTGTATTAGAAGCATGGATGTGCTTTGTGCAATGTGAAGACAGCTTCCTAGGCTTAAACGGGACCAAGTCTTGTAGTTTTACCAATCCTTATCAGACCTTATATTACATATGTTTTCTTCCTTTCATGTAAGCTAATTTAAAAATGGGAAAAATAGTTTTGGCAAGTTTTTTTTTTGAAAAAATAATCGGATAGGCTAATCCGTCTTGTTTTATTGCCACTAAACAATAAAGTAAATCAGAAAATAAACAGAAAAAAAAAATAACTAAAAAGTGAATGTGATGAGAGGTGAAGTTTTGAATGAGAATGGGCGCGGCTGCTTTAGTTATCGTTTTACGTCTCCTTGTATGGAGGAAAATAATAATTCGCTGTCGTGAACAAGGACACGGGCTACGGTTGGCGATGCAAATGTAACGAAGTTTACGGAGGAAAGCCCATACGGGATGGTTGCAGAGGTTATATATTCCACTAAACATTAATTTATCTATCTCCTTTGTATAGTTTTCTTCATTTATGATTTTAGTTTTGCAATCATTGTATCCCACTGTTTTCATTTTTGTAGTTTATTAATTAATTCCTCTGCCTATTTTATCCAATATTAAGTAGCAAAAGACAGACAAATGTATATATAAGATTGACAAAAAAAATTAAAGTAAAATAAAATCACATTCATTAATTCATAAAGTAAAATAAAAATAACCATTATACATTCCATTTTTTGTTCTTCCGATTGCTACCTGATTGTCATTATATATAGTATATAGAATCTATTAATTTCATGTTGCACGAAACAATTATCTCATGGAACAGAGATAAGATAGTGAGATCCATTATTTTTTCGGAAAAAAAATTAGTGGACCTCACTATTTTGTCTCTGTTAGATGAAATAATTATCTCATGCAACATAAGATAATTATTTCTCATAATATATACACACAACATGCCGTTAATTGTGGGCATGATAGATCCATATACAGCCCAACAAGCAAGCCTAGTAGAGCCTAACAAGATGAGGAGCGCCAAATAGCCAAATTATCTCTTTGATTATATATTGGGTTGAAATATGTAGTGGGCTGGGTTAAAATTATTATCCGGACCATAAGATATTTTAACTCTTTAATGTTTTCGTTGCAATTAGGTTGATTGCTTAGGCCTAATGTTTAGCCCATTTGAGTGGCTTAAGTAGAAACCCAATTTATTTTTTTGTTGTAGGATGATAATAGAGAACGCAAATATTTGATTCCAATCTCATTTCCTCTTCCTCGCACTTTTCAATTTCTAGCTCTTTCTCTTTCCATCTCAATGAAAGCACCTGGGAGAGAAGGTTCTACATAAATATAATCTAACATACTTTCCTTTTTTTTTTTTTTGTCAGGGATAAGAAATTTTATGGTTATTCTATAAATATCTTCTTCTAGATCGTCACAATTAATATCTTTGTAGATGTAAATTTTATAACAAGTGAACATGTATCGAAATAGTCAAAACCTTCTAGTTGTATATATCCTTTAATTAGCAACAAGCCTATATTTATATTAATCAATTTTGTCATCTGTCTTCATCTTCTTTTTGGAAGATTTACTTACTTTCTAATGACTTATTGTCATGAGAAAGATCAATCAAAATGGTTGGACAAGATTGATTTTATTTCGATATTGACTGTTTCTTCCTAGGGAAGTCATGTATGGAGTTCATCTTCTAATAAATATGTTAGAAAATCAAGTCTGAAGACATTTTTGTCATTTGTTCATTACTACCTCTTAGGCTCCTCTTACACATTATACGGATGTTAAAAGAGTCGAGGGCCTTTGGCCTAGCTCGTGTAGACCTGGTCTGGTCTGTGTGTTTTGATTGTTGAATTCAAACTTAGGAGACTTGAGCACCTTGTCAAGCATATACCAAGGCTATTTCCAGTAAGGTTATGAGAGAAATAGATCCTGGAAACACTAAGTGGAAAATTTTCTCAGGAGTGAATCATTGCTACTCCGAATCGCCTGCTATGATAAATTGGTTCTTTGTTGTTGTTAGAAATTGAAACCCAAGATCTTCACTCTGATATTATTTCATTAGCCATTATCAATTTCCAGTCGCATAGCCTCATAATAATTCTGTAAAGCTTCTGCATAATTTCCTTTCGATTTAGCCGACATCTGTTACGGTCGTTATTCGGTACATAGAATCGCCGTTCCAGAACCGTACATGAGTACATTCTTTGTTGTTGTTGCTTAAAATGCCCTTCAAGCAGCCTGATTGATAACCAATTGGATGTTGAATTAAGTACAAGTCCTTGTGCATTTGTCATTAATTGAACCATTAAGAAGTTTTTGAGAAAGTTAAGTTGGTTGACTGTATCTTGAGACATTGTCTTAAAGTTTGATGAATGTTTTTGGTAAGGTAAGTGATGAAATGCTTCTGAGAAGTGATTGCTAGTGTATGAGTTACTAGAGAAAATACTTTTTGAAAAGAAAAGATAAATTGTTAACTAAAAATTAGTTTGATTCTGATTAACACTGATTTATGCATTGATAATTTTGATCACTGAAGATGTTATATAATGAATATGTTGTTCTGTTGTTTGAGGACAAGCAAAAACTTGAGTTTGGGGTGTGATAAGTATCTAAAAAGAGACTCTATAGATAGTTGAGTTAGCTATTTTTGGAGGCTTATGATCTCATAATGTTTATTTAAATCACAAATAGTTAATGAGCACATTTGTGTATGTTTGCAGGTAACAAAAGCCCAACACTCAAGCCTAAATGATAAGAAAAAGAGGCCATTAGTCAGAAGGGCAGAAAGGAGAAAGACAAAAAAGGTAAGGACACATCAGTAAAGTTAGTAGGGAAGAAAGAGAAAGTAAAGATAACCATCCCAACTTCATTAAATACCCAAAAAGAACCTTAGCCCTTCTTCCCCCATTTCTTTTCGTCTTTAAAAATCGCTAATCCACACAAATCAAGCTTCAACCATAGTGTCTTGCATCTAATCCAAGCCCACAACCTAAGCCTTCATCAACCTAGAGCTAAAAATCCACTCAAACCTACATCCTCAACCAACCCAAGAAACTGGCTTTTTGACCATTATAACCTTTTTTTAATAATTAATTACCAAATTGACCCTATTTATAAACTATTTCAAAAATTTAACCGCTCCAGAAAACATAACACTAATCTGCTCCTGTTTGACCGTTAATCTTGAAGCCTACCCGGGTACATCCCTACCTACCCGGGTATATTTTGAAAAATTTTACCTACCCGGGTACACCCCTCCCTACCCGGGTATATTTCTTGAATCTGGAAAAATGTTTGAATTATTTACCCGGGTAGAGAGGGGTGTACCCGGGTAAATAATGAGACATCATGCGCAGCCCCAGCTGAACAACAAGCAGAAGAAGGGGTAGAGAAATTCTTCAGCCATGGTCCATGAAAAGAGGAACATCCAAAATTCAGAGGACCATACAAAGGTTGTGGTCTTCTTAGATTCACACTAGCTCTCAGGCAACCTTTATGAGTTCTATCTTTGAAGTACACACCAGAAGGTTTTGTGAAGCCTAGCACACTGCCACAACTTGAGATAAAGTCATCAACATAAACATCTCCCAACACAGCATTAAAAGGTGAAGTAGCCATTGATTCTCTAATAGGTCTGTGGCATGAAAAGCAATGAGTGCACGCGTAGATATGATTATTTACCCGGGTACACCCCTCTCTACCCGGGTAAATAATTCAAACATTTTTCCAGATTCAAGAAATATACCCGGGTAGGTAAAAATTTTAAAATATACCCGGGTAGGTAGGGGTGTACCCGGGTAGGCTTCAAGGTCAACGGTCAAACAGGGGCAGATTGGTGTTATGTTTTCTGGAGAGGTTAAATTTTTGAAATAGTTTATAAATAGGGTCAATTTGGTAATTAATTATTAAAAAAAGATTATAATGGTCAAAAAGCCCAAGAAACTAGAAAAAGAAATAATGAAATAAAAAATCTGAGCTGTCATTTTGAGCTGGAGTTAGTTACACAGTTGTAAGTGCGAGCGATTTGGAGTGTGAAAAAAAGATGGCTAGATAATCAAACAAGATGGAGGGTGAATTATGCGTTACTTCTTTTACAAGAAATAATAAAAAACACAACCCTTTTATAACAACTTCAACAAAAAATGAAGTTCAGAGAGTATCAAACTTTTCTTAACCCAAAAACAAAATCAAAACATAACATATAACATCCAATTTAGAGATTAAACAGCAAAATGAAAATTTATGGGAAAAGAGAAGAAATTCAATGTTTGTGGCAACCTCTTTCAAGAAAACATGCAAGAATGAAATCAAATGAAATCAATGAATCAAAATAACATATACAATGAATCAAAACGAAATCAATTGAATAAAATCAAAGAGATAAGGGTAAGGAAGAATCACACCGAGATATATCCTAGTTCACTCTCTAACCACTTGAGAGCTAAATTCAGACTGAGGTCGATCATTCCACTATCATCAAGCTTCCAACAGGTGCTTAAAGAAACCTTTTTACCACAGAAATTTTAC